AACCGGCCTGGTGATACAAGTGTGGAATGTAAGGTCTGTGACCAAAAATATATAACTAGCGGTAATGTGGCGCTGCTATGTCAATCGACAGTATGCTAGCATGTGTTCGTGAACCATGAAGTTAAAAAATTAAAATACCACACCTTTCAACATTCTAAAAATATACTATGTTCAATTGCCTTTAAAAATGCAAATGTATAAAGTTAATGTTCGAAATATTTGTCATATTTTGAGAAATGAACATTTTCTTTTTCCCTCTGGTAAATATCAATCATGTCTTTATATCTTTCAGTTTTTCATGATATTTCGTTTGTATGTTGAACAAAACTGAATATATACCAAATTTTCAAAAGAAAATGGAAACATAGAACTTGAAAATATTTAGCATTTCATTCTCCTTTGTACACAATAACCTCAAGGTGATTGTATAATTTATGGTTGCCGAAAGCTTAAATGTGTTGTCGTTTCACAATATATCGTGTTATACTACTATGATGGTCACAGGAAAGCAAACAAAATGTGTGCTTCATAGTTTATTGCCTCAATTCAAACAAACAAAAATTGACTGTATACGAGTATTTCACCCAGGAAGATGGCGTATTTATTGCCCTCTATTACCCCTCCAAACTTCAATGAACATTTTAAGTACACAAACAAGCATTTCCTCTCTACTTCGAGACAGAGTGAACATAACTTTCTTATAATTAAAAGCATGCGTTAAGAGCAAGCTAAGTGATAGGATAGATTGTGTTATTTTGTCAGAGCTGATGTGACTCTCTACATGTTTGTTCACTCTATATTATTTACACATATACTACGTGCCCTTTCTTTGTGTATTAGGGATACTATCTCATGTACATCTACTTCATATACCACGGAAGGGTAGTTCATTTGGTTAATACTGAGGTATATTCACAGATCTCCAATACATCGAAATTGACAGGTTGTTCGCTTTTTTTTAAACCATAAGGGATCAAGATAAATGTTTCACGGCTGTGAAAAAGCTTATTATTTTTTAATGTAGCCTTTTATAGACTTTAATACGACCAACTGCTGTGCAGAGCTTTACAAATCTGTATGCCTAACTAAATGTTTGTTTTTCTAGTAAGGTAAACGTTTTAAACGCATTGATCCGCCCTGCTATTGACATCGCAGTTTAAATTTCAATACATACAAGCAGGGATGAAAGACTGGATAAAGAGATTATAACATCACTTTAATATAAAGTCAACATTTAACTAGTAATTTGAGAATTATAGACGGTCTATCTTACTTTAATGTTTTCTTGTAGATTTTAAAAATGTATATCAACCTAATAAATAGTCCAGGTCAAAAAGGGAACATTTAGCCTCAGAAAAGGAAAGGTAGTTAAAATGATAAATGACTACCAAATATTATAATGACATTTACAAATTAAATGTTAAAAGGTTTTGATAATATTGTGAACAGAAAAAGTGACAGGATATCTGACGACCATCTCTTGGAAACAGACTATGTACTTGCGTTATCCCTTCAGGCATGTGACTTCGTACTTGCACAAACTGAGTAAAACTGAACAGCACACGAGAGAGGTCAAATAACTTCTATTTTATCAGTCCATTATTACAGGAACATATATTGATATATGTTAGATATACTGTTCCCAGATTATTAGGAGGGATACATTAGCAAAATCCGTATATGTTTGGTTTACCTTTAAAAATAAGACAGAACATCATTGCGCTACTTTATGGTATACTAACATCTCTATATATTTAACATAGAAAGTAATAGGTTTTCAATGAATGAAAATGTGGAATCAAAAAGCTTCATGTATCAAACAAAAAATGTATCGACATTTAGCTTTTACATTTAGTTGCAATTTTTCAAAATATCGACAGGTGTTAAGAACTAGAGATCAAAATAGCGCCATCAATCAGAAGCTTAGGAACCTTGCAACATTATTTTACTATCCTATCATGTGACGTATGTTTTAACACTTTTACATTTCTTTTTCATATATTTTGATTTACAACTTTAATGGCTCGTATAATGTTATGTAGATGTTTTAATTTAGTCACATTAAATAAGAAAATATCAAAATATCTCAAATTGATGTCTGATTACGAATATGACCCTCTTACACAGACATTTAAAAAAAATTATAAATGGAGAACGATTTTGTATAATTTGTTGGATAATTGCTGTGTGGATAATAATAAGCATCGACATGAAAGATTGGTAACAATACCTTAGAACACAGGGTACGAGTTCGAAAATAGGTTTTTACAGTGCAAATCCGCGGTAAATATACTTTATCAGCAGAGTTCATCTATAATAAGAGGCAACGAACCGAGCTAGCGTGTTTCATTGTGTTTAGTAACTAGATTAGCGATCAAGAAACACTATTAATGTTTTAAAACCCACGTAGACTGGATTTGTACGATAAGTAAAATGAGGTATTCTGAAGGCTGGTAAAATTACAAAAGTAGAATTTCTTTGTTTGAAATGTATACCTTGTCTTGTAGTGAAATATTAACTCGAAGGTGTACTCACACGTCGTTTTCTTGACATTTAATATTCTCATACAACTATCTATCCATGTAGATTCATATATTTATCCTCTCAAGAATGTTTTAAAACAAAACGAGAAATGTAATTAATAAACAGAAAAGAAGATAAAATGTGAGGATCATATAACAATAATTTTATAACATAAAGCATAGGTCAGAGGTCATATAAAATAATACGGGGAAAGAAAGTTCCTAAATTTCATACCATAGAGCGAGCATGGTTTAGATAGTCGTATCCTAAAAGGGGGACTGTGTTAATAATAGTATAACGTAGATGTATACGTGCTAGATAAGCATATCTCAGGGAAGAGGAAGGATGGGTTAGATGGCCAAATACAAAGAGGTGAAACATTTCATCGATTTTATAATATAAGAGCATATAATTCAGATGTCCAAATCAAAAGAGGGGAACCAGTTCATTAATTTTATAATATAGAACATGGTTAAGATGGCCAAACCAAAAGAAGAGAAACATTTCTTCGATTTTAAAATATGGAGCATGGTTTCTTGGTCACATCAAAAGAGGGGAAACATATCATTAAGTTTATCATATAGAGGATGGTTTCTTGGCCAAATCAAAAGAGGGAAACCATTTCATGATTTTATATTATCTACAGCATGATTTCTTGGTCACATCAAACGAGGGAAAAACATTTCATTAAGATTATCATATAGAGCATGGTTTAGATGGCCAAATCTAAAGAAGGGAAACTTTTCAATGATTTTATAATCTAGAACATGGTTTAGATGGCCAAATAAAAAGAGGGGAAACATTTCATTTAGTTAATCATAGGGAATATGGTTTACATAGCTAAATCAAATGGGTTTATAAACATTTTGTTAATCATATAGAACATGGTTTATGTGTCCAAATCAAATGGGTTAAACGTTTAGTTTATGTTATCATATGGAGCATGGGTTATTGGTCATGTCCCAGAAAAGGGACGACATTACAGACTGTTTTTGTGTTATGGCACACGAGTTGGATATTCATATCTCAAAAAAAAAAATTATCTATTCTTTACAGAAAGTTGGTCAATTCGGTTTCCAAATACATTTTAGGCTCTTTTTTGTCTATAATTATCTGTGTCTGAATGTGACTAATGCCCTGGATTTCAAACATCAGTTTTCACTGATAAATTCATATTTAATTAATTGCATTTAAAAAAAAATACATATGTGAATTGTTACAAATTTAAATTATCTTAAAAATATGACTTTCTATATATATATATATTAACACTTTTAATAATGATGCCTGATGAGTACAGAACAGTCGGTGCGTGCATGGTAACCACATAACAAAAGAGGGCCAATATAATAAACAATAAATATAAAATGCACAGCTCTTGTCTGTGTGTATCAGGAATATTTTTGTTTTAAATTTTGGAATAGATAAGACACACCGACTCCAAAAAACAGTGATTTGTTCAAAACTTGTGATTTATACATGGTTTATATTTTATACTGAGAACCAAGTACATCTCCCTTGAAAGTGTATACCAAAATACAAAAAAAAACTGTAGTGTTAATAAATGGTGAAAGCTTGTTTAAAGTTATGAGAATTTCAAAGGATTTATGCACTTTCATTTCTATTTTTATGTTCTGTTTTATGACAAACCGTGTAATTTTTTCTTTATGATTGCGGCTGACGACGGCAACATTTGTTTTCTCTAATGTATAGGTAAATTAGATTAACTTACTGGCGTCTAAACCTCATTAAGTTAATTCAGCCGACATTACCACGATCAAAGTATCAGGATATATTCTAATAAGTTTAATATTTTATTGCAAATAAATACACATTCATAACATAGCATAGTTCAACGATGCTTTTGCTAAAGGGCTTGGCTCTGCTTGTTATCTATTTCGATAACTTCTAACAGAACATATTCTAGGAAATTTCTTTACTGGTGTCTTATCATAAGAATTTTAATTAAAATATATGCAAAATTTTCAACTAAAATGTTCATGGATACCTATACTTTAATACATGTTTAAACTTTAAATAAATCGCGTCTAATACTGATATAAATGTGGAGGAAATAAAAGGCTCATAACAATTTAACAATTTTTAAAACAGTTTTACAATTTTAAAAACAATTTAAGTGACAGTGAAAATATTTCCCCTTCCTGTTTATAAAAATTCCAATATCACTACGAAGAAAATAACGTTAAAAGCTCTTTATCATTGAGATATAATATACTTAATTCAAAAATACACAAACCACATATTTTATTCTCTATCTAACTTAAGCAAGTAAAGTACTGCTTAAAAAAAAACTTATGGAAATGATGTTAAAAGCTTTCTGGTAAAATATATCAACAAAGTTTGACATGTGGTGGAAACGCAATATTCTACTTGGCAACGTGCTTCATCGAGAAGTGGTGATGCGAGCAAACTGAACTCTTTAACGTGAATCAAACATCTAATTTATCGTAACTTACCTGTAATTAAGGAAAATAGTATACTATGAATACAGGTACAAATTAAGATTTTTAGCCACCAAATCATGGCGGTAAATAAATCCAACTAAAAAATCCAATGTTCATAAGCTTTTCATTTATCCACAAGTTATATTAATCTAAAACACTTTCTTTGTTACGACTGACAACGTGTTGTTTTTGTGTGTTCATTCGGTTATTAAAGTGTTATGTTTTTTTCTGACTGACGGAGCGCCGTGTAATTTGAACTGGGAGGTCTTTAATCGACAGACGACAACCCGGTTTCCGGCGCGCTGATTGGTCGTGTGTTTATAACTCTCGAGTGGTTATGTTTACATATTAAACGAGACGAGGAAAATATGTATATTCTTTTCCAATATTGACAGATGAAACGCTAATTTGACATAATATGTCAACGAACAGAAACGATCATTTGGGAAATAAATAAATCATTTTTGATTCGTTGTTATGGGAACACAATCAAATTTTTATTTCAAATTCATCAATTATTTTATCTTTTGGCAGTTTGTGTGATAGCAACAATTTTGAGAAACGCAGTAATAATTTTCCAATTCATCACGGGATAGCGCGATACTAGAAGCACACAGTTTCAATAAAGATTTGATGAATAAAATTATTCTTTATTAATCAAAATTTTGTTGTTTGATAGACATTTTTCCAATAAAGCGAAACATTTATGTAGTTTGTATCTTTTGATTTAATGGAAATCGATTTTGAATGCATATATACATCATAACAGATGCCATTTATCATGTGCTGATTGTTTGCATTCAGTATAATAGTTTGTAGAAACTTATTAAAAAAGGCGGCAAATATAACATTTTTAATGAATAGTACTGTCATCCATAGATAACATTTTTAATGAATAGTACTGTCATCCATAGATAACATTTTTAATGAATAGTACTGTCATCCATAGGACAGGATACACCAAAGCATACTTACTTAATATTTAACACGCACTCCTAACAAAAGAAATAATAGAAGCTTTAATATTTTGTTTCGCTGGACCGAATGCTGTAACTTTCTGGCGTCATTTTTCATTCGAAATATACTAAATAATAAATTTAGATAGATGCGAATTTTTAAAATTCAATAAAGTTACTTTGTGCAGATTGAATCAGATGTCCATTCCATTTCTTTTCTTTTCCTATTGCTGATTGTCCTTTCTTAGATAAAGACGTTCCATTGGGTCATTTTTAATGAGTTAACCTTTTTCTGTTATCTAAATATGCATGTGGTTGCAGTCACGTTAAAGTAATATATTTTCTGATAAGATATTTTTTATATAAATTTGTCCTAAAAAGTGGCTACATTTTGTCGACATTGAAGATTTATTCTTCCGTCAGGAATTTAAAAATAAGTGGCATTACACATCCAGTTTTTAATGATAATACAGAGTTATTCTGTGCATCTCACTGGATCGTGCCTTCCTGTACTTTTTATTAAATTCAACTCAAGTTCAGCTGCCAATATTACAATTAATTATATACTTAATTATATATATAAATAAATTTTACTTGTAATGCGATCAATAACAATCACTCTGTGTTAGCCATCCGTGACGATATGGACCAGTCACGGTTCCACAGGCTTTATCAATCCCAAAAGAAAAACATCGGTTTTAAGTATATAATAAAGTGTATATGATATGGCTCTTTCAATATCACTAACCGTATCTAACCTCAACTTATATAATTCTAGTACCGCCTATATTTGTTAAATCTAATGGGAACAATTCCACAAGGCATCTACCAAATTTGATGGTACCAATATTTATTAGTTATTTTCCCCATTTTATTAATAACAACATCCGCCATGGGATTTTCTGTTATGATGGTACAAATGTCCACCAGTTATAAATCAATTTTCAAAATAATATGTCTGTGATTGCCAGTTATCACCATATTCCAAACAATTTTGAAATAATTTCCAATTTCAATATTATCGAAATGTTCAACAGAAAGTAATTGCCAAATTAAGCAGTTTTATAGACCGTGTACATGACATTCAGGTACTTATTTCTGAGTAGCAGCAGTTTTATAGATCCTGGACATAATATCCAGGTACTTATTTCTGAGTCCCATGGAATACATATATGTTGTATCAATTCAGGACACAATTTCACTACATGTGTGTGACAAAACAAAAGCAAAGCAAACACGCTTTCTTTACTGTTCTTCATGATCTCGATATGAGACCTTCAACATGGAGCAAAAGCTCATACCTGACTTAAAGTTCAAGACGGCTTCTGACAGCTCTTTAATTTGTCTCCTAGGTTATTGCTTATGTATCTATGATTAGATTAAATTATGTCAAATTCGTCTATGTTTCCTCGTAAACCTTGCTTACCAAGTTTGTAAATCCATGCAGTGGTATTCATAATACTATGAAATAACATTATATTGCTGTACCTTTTCATCAGTAGTAACTATATAGATTTGCGGATTTAAACTGGAATTGGAGTATTATTTATGATACTATAGTAGTGTATTTATTATACTATTTCGTTATATTGCGATGTTTAATTGGCATGAAGGCAAACGGCTTGATTTTTGTTTTAACCATGCAATATCAACAGTTCCGTTTCTCTAAAGGTATGTGCCTGCTTGCATACGATTCGGAAGTATACTAGGTTGTTTTTTTTTTATTTTGAAAGTTGTCACCATGTAATATTTGAATTTTTTAAATACTTTTCACAGATGTCCAAGAACTTATAAAATATGTCATAAAATGACTACAATTTAAATTAAAATTGAAAATGATTCCGACACTACCATGCATGCAGAAATGTGAAGCCATTTTAAAAAGTAACGACAAAGCCAAGGCGTTTAAACAAATCCTAGGTGCTTTCTAATTTTGGTCCTATCAGAATCATATTGATAACCTCTAATTCCATCAATTCCACATCATTAAAACAACTTATTGATGCTTTCACAATTTGGTAGTGCCAGATCTATCATTGGAACATTCTTTGTAACTATTTTCAAAATAAATCGAAATTCGAAGGTAAAAGTATACTTTATGGTTATCGAAATCAGGTGTAACGATAATACCAGATACTTGTTAGTTATGCAATTACACAGTTTAACACACATCTTCGATTTTTATACTATAAATTATGTGTTTAATCTGGTAATATCGTGTACAATTTCTTAAACCGAACCTCTTTACACTTGATAGCAATACCAGGATATAATGGTAACCCCTTCATTAAAGTACCTGTCAAATTTGGTATACTAAGTACCAGAATCTTCTGTAATTTTACCTTGAGGTACTTTGCAATTCTTAAAGCTATACGTGTTGTCTGTTTTGCTTGATCATATGTTTTCCTCTCTCTCTCTTTCCATTTTTGATTGTATTTTGCACTGATACCTCCAAAGTAACATCGAACTTGTCGTCTCTTTTTCGTATACTTCATGTCTCTTTTTATTTATATATTGATAAATTGAACTTTTAACTCAAATAGCAATATATAGGCCTAATGTTAATTCGTTTTATCTCTTTTGAATCATTATATATAGTAAATAGGAAAAAACACACGAAAGGAGTATAAACATTTAAGGTCCGTTTTTGGCCCAAAATAATGAAGTTTTTGCGAACTTTTTAAAAATTTGCATATAATATATATATGGAAATATATAAAGTCAAGAAATAAAGATGTATTTTGCCATTTGATAAGGGACTTTCCGATTTGAATTTTCCTTGGAGTTCGATATTTTTGTTATTTTACTTTTTACACAAGATGTTTGATGATATGACGTAACAAGTACGTCATGATGTGCGAAATTTATTCATGAAAATGCTGAGTTTATGCGCTTAGAAGCTTCGGACGCATGAAACTATTAAACGTGTTGTTTTCAATTTTTTTATGCATTTTTTTTTACCGATATTTCTTTCTGGAAACACCGTGCGAAGCCAAGAAACAACAAAATGAATTTAGAGAACCTTTATTCTAGTAGTTAATTCTATAGTCGTACCAAATGTAAAATTGTTTCTTGGGCGCCCACATACTTTTCCAGTATGCGTTCTACAATATACGTAAAAGAAGACGTAAAACAATATATGTATATAAGTGTTGTCATGGTTACTCGTCAATGTGAAATTTGTTTTTATTTTCTAAACGCCTTTGCCTTATAAAATAATTCTGTCTCCTTAAGGAATGACTGTAACATTTTTTCTGTCTATGAAGAATTAACATAAAAAATGTGGTGCATACTGAATAACTCTCGTGTAGCGGGTTATTTAAAAGTGTGCACCATATTTTTAATGTTATTTCGAATAGACAGAAAAAATATTACAGTCATTCCTTATAATTTAATTCTAAATTCGTTTTTAAGGGGTAAGTTTTGAAAAAAAACGTCACGGTCACATGACAAAATTATGTCTATGAGCTGATAGACAAAACACTTGCAGCCAATCAAAAGACGTGTTACATCCAGAATTAAATTATTTCCATTGAAAAGTAGATTTTGTTATTCGAATGATACATTCTAAGTAAATTCACTTACTTATAACTCATCAAACATGTTTATTTTGAGTAAATTCACCTACTTATGATTCATCATTAATGTTTATTCTGAGTAAATTCACCTACTTATAATTTATCATAAATGTTTATTCTGAGTAAATTCACCTACTTATAACTCATCATAAATGTTTATTTTGAGTAAATTTACCTACTTATGATTCATCACTAATTTTTATTCTGAGTAAATTCACCTACTTATAACTCATCATAAATGTTTATTGGGTAAATTCACCTACTTATGATTCATCATAAATGTTCATTCTGAGTAAATTCACCTACTTATAATTCATAATAAATGTTTATTCTGAGTAAATTCACCTACTTATAACTCATCTACATTGTTTATTCTGAGTAAACTCAGCTGCTCTTCCTTAGTAAAACTCTTTATTTGTTAAAATCTTATTTAATACAATGTTTGATTCTAGTTTTTATAACATAGTGCACGCCTTATGTAACTTGGAAAAGTAATTATTTATAAGTTTAGATTTTGTATACAATTCCAAGAATGCATAATCTTGTATGGTGACGACATCTGTATTTGTGTTGATGTTTTTTAAAACACAAAATAACAAAAACTGCTCGACCAAAAGTAAATAGTTCTGAAAAAAGCAAATGATTAAAGACATGTTTATGCTATCTAAGTATATAACTTGACGAAAATGTAATATACAGTTTGTTTTCTTGTCTATTTTTTTTTTTGCACCTTAGTTGTTACC